AAAAAAAAAAAAAAAATTCCTTTGCTAAAGAAATATTTTATTATCATAGCTGCTGTTTCTTCTAACCCTTGCCATGTTAACTACTCTAAATCTACCTACTGATACGTTTATCTTATATATTTATCATACCCATTTAGTATTTAGAATTTTTCCTTGTATTCCATTTTATGAATTGCTTTTATCTTTTAAAATCAAATTTCTCAATGATATTTCAGTTCTCCACATTATTCAAAATCCTAGTAATATTTTTAGCAAACCCTTTTCCATATCCTTCCAGATATTTTTTATCTGTCCTTGCAGACTGACTTGGAGAGCCCTCTACTGGCCTAATGCTGTGTCAAAAAATTTTTCTTCACCTTTCAGATACCTGTTTATACGTGTTCTTTATAATATAATAATAATTGTATAATCTAAGTAAAATCTTTATTCAGAATGACGAAATTATAAAAAAAGAATGGTTCTACCAAAAATACTACTATCAAAGCAAATCATACCACTTTTATAGCATAGAAATACCATTTTCAAATAAGTGTACACTATTAATCTCAATACTGATAGCCTTGCTGTCATGTGACAGATGTCATAAATAAAACCACATAAATAATAAGGTATTCTGATGTATTAGCAACTAAAATATGAAACACAAGCTAGAATATGTTAAATGCTTCTGTTTCATATAAATCTGACAGCTATTTGGTCATCAATACTTCCTGATTTTGATACACCAATCCTTTTAATATTTATAAATAACATGTTTAAAAATATAAGTAAAAAAAAATCCCACTTAAAATGACTTTTTAAAATCTAGGAATAAAGACCTTAATTAAGAAGACAAAACAAAAATTTACAAATAGAAATATATACCACCACAAAGTTATCAGGCTTCACTTTTGATCCCAATAAAAATGCCAACAGCATTTATTTATTTTTTGGGGGGGGAGGGGTTACTAAACACGCCAATTACAAAGTTTGTATAGAAAAACATCCAAACAAGTTTCAAGGAAAATTCTTAAGAAGAAGAGTAATAATTGGGGAAAGCAGCCTGTCCAGCCATATAAATTCTATAATAAGGCTTCACAGACCCTATGTCTGTGTACTCATTAGATTGTACTTTCCTCACTGGAAAAACTATCCTCATTCACACTCCTATCCTAAGGCCTACACATTACCTTTCCCATAGTGAACATAAATAAAGTCAGAAGGAATGAATGAATGTGTTTTCCTATATAGTCTCTCCCCCTATAAGCTTTGAGATCCATGAAGGCGGGAACTATTTTTTCACTTTTATGACCTCAGACTTTATGACATTGGATGATTAATAACTGTTTTGTTAAATGGACTCAATTGTATATTACAAATGAGTATACAATTTTATACAAATTTATTGTTTATTTATATACAAATATTAAAAAATTGTATATTTTATACCCATTTATAAAATGCGCATTAGAATTAGAGATACTCATGGTAAAAAAAATTACATAGAGATAAAAGAAGCTAATATAAATAGAAAATATCATGACAAATTTGGAAAATACATTTCCAAATCAAATTATAGACAAAAAGCTAATTTCTTTTATGTTAAATGTTCATAAAAACAATAAGCAAAAACACCAAACCTAACAGAAAAAATAAGCAAAGGATATGAAAAGACAATTCACGGAAAAAGAAACACAAATGGATATTAAATATATAAAAAGAAGCTCAGTATAACTCTTTAAAAAATACATATTAAATGGGCCGGCCCGGTGGCGCACTGCTACAGTGCGCCGCTTGGGAGCGCGGTGGCGCTCCCGCTGAGGGTTCGGATCCCACATACAGACTGGCCGCTCACTGGCTGAGCGAGGTGCGGGCACAACACCGAGGGTTGCAATCCCGTTGCCGGTCCCGGTCCGGTACGGGCGCGACACTGAGGGTTGCGATCCGTTGCCAGTCACGAAAAAAGACAAAAAGGAAAAAAAAAATACATATTAAAACCATACAGAGATAACTATGCCCTGACTTTTATATAAACCTAACAGAAGGGCAAAAATCCTAAAGTTTGATAATACACTCCGTTAGCACAGCAGCTGAAACTTGGGATGTGGAAGATGGGAACGTCTTATACACTGTCCTCCTGGATGGCAATTCGACAAGATCAATTAAAATTATAAACTTTATAAAATTATATACAACACCTAGAAATTTCACTTCCAGGAATTTAACTTGGAAAAATAATTGCATATGAGCAAAATAATATTTATAAAACATCATTTATAATGGCCCCAAAGTAGAAACAACCCAAATTTTGATGAGTAGGCGACAGGCTGAACAAATTATGCTATCTCCATAAAATGGAAAAAGAAATGCAGCTGTAAAAGCAAAGTAATGAGGTGCTATCTGTGCAATAATATAGAAATAATCATTGTATGTTATATAATTTTATATAATATAAAGGAAAAAAGCAAGGTGCCAGATAATGTATATATTCTGATACTTTCTATAAATGTAGAGGGATAAAATACATTTATATCTGCTCATAATATGCATCAACTTTGGAAGGATACACTAGAAACTGGTAACAGTAGTTCTCATATGGGTGTGGGGAGGGGGTATGAACTGGACAGATGGAAGACAGTAGTTAGACATCTTTAATCACACATACAAGGGGCTTTCAAAAAGTTCATGGAAAAATTAACATTATCTTTTAATTCCATTTCTGCATGAACTTTTTGAAGTTCTCTTGTATAAATATGAACGATGTGAATACATTTAATTCAAAAAATTGATTAAAATTATCTTAATTTTACAAGATAAGTATATTATTAACACAGCTTTACTAATAAAACAACTACAAAATCCTCTGTAGTCTTACCTGCAAACTAGCCATATAAGAATCCTCACAATTTACATAATGTCCTAACATGGCATGTTGTGCTCGTAATTCGTTATTCCTTATCCTCTCATGTAGGTGGGTAATTTGTTGTTTCTGTCTGCAAAACATAAATTTAGGTCACATTATAAAAAATACACTTTTTCTAAGAGACAGTTAAAAGCAGAACATTTAGTATCGTAAAAAACTTACATTAGAGTTTAAAAGTATCAACTTAAAAAATCTAAATAGGGAATTTTTTTTAAACCACAGTACCATGAAATATGTGGATTACAATAAGAGTTTATTTTTACTGTAGAGTACTTCTGACATTTTATGAATGCAGTCTTTTGCAAAATACTCTTCTTAGATTCTAACAAAGTCATGCTTTGCTTTCTTCTTGCTACCTAACATAAATGTTACATCCTCAGGCTGGAATGCCATTACCTTAAAAATAATTATTTTCATTCATCTAAATTCTGCTGAGCATTTTACACCAAATGAAGCTTTTGAGAATTTCATTGTCGGGGTGAAGGATAGTTTTATAAAAGTTGCACAGTCTACACATTAACATCACCAAAACTGGAGAACTCACCCAGTGACAAATTTGTATCTTTGTATAGCTCTGGCATTTCATTTAGTAATACAACCTCACGTTGGAATCAGAAATATTGAAGTTCAAATCTTTCTTCAGCAGCTCATAGTTTACTTTAACTATGTTATTTAACTTCTGTTAATATGAATCCTTATATATTTTAAAACTGTTATGTGCCAGGCATGATGCTAAGAACTTTCTACGCAGTACCTCATCTTCAAAAATTTAATAACTAGTCTCATAATAAGCTGATGAAGGAGAGAGAGCATTTAAGGAATAATAGATAGTACAGACAAACAATTAGTTTGATGTTTTCCAAAATTACAAAGTAACTTTTGGAATGAGCTAGGTTGCATCAAAGAGCTTGTTCTACTTAGATTCATTTTTTTGCTATCTTTTAAGAAAGTTCACATAGAAAAACATCAAATAGGAAATAGGAAATTTAGAAGAGATTAGTCGTATGACACTTATAAAGAAAACTTCCTTTTCCAGCCAAGATGGAGTAGCGGGCATAGGTTTTGCTCTCTTGCCTGAAACAATTAAAAAAAAGGATAAAGACTCTCAAAACACTGGACACCAGGCAATTAAGAACGGTGATCTCTGCGAGAGGAAAAACAAATGAGTTGGGCCCTATGATTGCCCCAGCTTACTGCTGAGAGAGTTTTCAAGCTCCAGGGCAGTGATGGTGGTCTCCTTGAATTAAAGAGACCAAGCTGGGAATCTGAAGAAACTAAGGCAGCTATAGTTCACAGTGCTGGGTCACTCTTGAGAATTCAGCTGAATACTAAAACAAAGGTGTGTATGCAGGGGGAGGGGCAACCAAAATGATTAGAGAGAACAGTGCTTGTGGGCATGAAATATTGCCTATTCCCAACTGCCAGAGTGAAAAATATTCATGATTCACAAGGCATCAATTAGCAGCAGTTCTCAGCTGGGGGCAATGTTGACCCCACGGGATATCTGCAACATTTAGAGACATTTTTGGTTGCCACAACTGGGGCAGAATGCTACTAGTATCTAGTGAATAAAGACCAGGGATGCTACAAGGAACAGAACAGCCCCCCACAACAAAGGATTACCTGACCCAAAAAGTACTGTTGTGGATTGACTGTCCCCCGCAAAACTCACTGAAGCTTGACCCCCATTATAATAGCGCTAAGAGGGTGAGAAATCCAATTATGATAACTGAAAGACAGGACCTTTAGGAGAAGATTAGATTAGGAGGACTGTTCCCTTGTGAATGGATTACTTCATTGATGATTTAATGGATAGTCATGAGCATGGTGAGGATGTTTTTATAAGGAGAGCAAGTGAGCAGCTTAGCTCTCTCATGCTCAGCCATTTGCTATGTGATACCCTGTGTCTCTGTGAAGAGTCACCACCACCCAAGAAGACCCTCACCAGATGTGTTCCCTAGACTCTGGACTTTCCAGCCTCTGAAACTATAAGAAATGAATTTTATTTCTTTATAAATTACCCAGTTGCAGATATTCTGTTGTAAGCAACAAAAACATACTAATACAGAAAATTGGTACTGAGAAGTGGGGTGTTGCTTACAACAAATACTAGAAAACATGGTAGTGGTTTTAGAACTGAGTAATGGGCAGAGGCTAGAAAAATTTGGAGGAGTAGGCTAGAAAAAGCCTAGATTCTACTGAGGTCTCAGAAGGCAAGAAGACCAGGGAAAGTTTGGAAAGTCTTAGAGACTGGTTAAATGGCAGTGACCAGAATAGAATGCTGATAGAAATATGAACAGTAAAAGCCCTTATAAGAAGGTCTCGAATGGAGATGAGGAAGAACTTATTGGAAACTGTAGTAAAAATCACCTTTGTTATGAAGTGGCAAAAAAAACTTGACTGAATTGTGTCCTCACAGAAGGGCTTTACAGAATGTGGAACTTAAAAGTTAGGATATTTGGTGGAAGAAATTTCTAAGAAACAAAGCATTCAGGAAGCTGCGTGGATACTTGCAACAGCCTAAACTGAGTTATGGCAGTGAAGGCATGATGTAAAGGCAGAATTTGTAATTAAAAGAGAAGTAGCAGGTAAAAAAATTTGAAAACTTCAGCCTGGCCACATAAAGAGGGAGAAACTCTGTTCGAGAGAAGAAACCAAGGGTGTAGCCCAGTGACTATTTGCTAAGGAGAGTAGGACAGAAGAAAGGGATCATCAAGAGAATGGAAAAAAGACCTTGAAGGTATTTCAGAGATCTTAGAGGCTGCCCCTCTCACCACAGGCCCAGAGGCCTAGGAAGACAGAATGGTTTCAGAGAACATGCCTGAGGTGTCCTCCCCAGGCTCTCTGCCCAAGGCCACCTCAGGATGCTGCTCCAGCTGCCCCAGCTATAGCTAAATTGACTCCAGGTGCTCCTGGACCCACAGCTTCGGAAGATTCAAGTGGAAGCCTTGGTGGTATCCACATGGTGTTAAGTCTGTACGCTCACAGAATGTAAGAGCTGGTGGAGGCATTGCACCCAGATTTCAAAGGATGTGTGGAAAAACCTGGGGGCCCAGGAAGAGATTTGTCACATGGAAGAAGTCACCACAGAAAGCCTTCACTACAGGAATGCTGAGAGGAAATGTGGGGTTGGAGTTGCAGCAGAGAAACCTCACTAGGATCATGTCTAGTGGAGCCATGGGAGCAGTAACACCACTGACACCCCAGAACTGTAGAGCTATCAGCATGCAATGCTACCCTGGGAGAGCTGAAGTGTGGGCTAAGCCCCAGGAAAGCCATAGAAGTGAGGCTGCCCAAGGACTTGGAGGCCCAAATCCTGTACCAGTGTGCAGAGGATGCCAAACACGGAGTCAACATAGATTATTTGCCACCTTTAAGATGATGCCCACTGTGCTAGGTTTAGGACATGCATAGGACCTGTTATCCCTTTGTTTTGGCCTATTTTTCCCTTTTTGAACTGGAATATGTACCCTATGCTTGTCTCCCCATTGTATCTTGGAGGTAGATAACTTATTTGACTTCACTAATAAGACTTTAGACTTCTGAGTTAAAACAAGTTAAAACTTTGGAGATGAAATTAATGTATTTACCTGAGAGGAGGACATGAACTTTGGGGCCATGGGCAGAATGCTATGGGTTAAATGCATCCCCCAAAGGTTCCTGTATTGGAGACCTGGCCTCCACTGTAACAGTGTTAAGAGGATGGGAAATCCTATTATGGTAATTGAAAGGTGCGGCCTTTAAGAGGTGATTAGATTGTGAGGACTGTTCCCTAGAGAATGGATTAATACACTGATGGTTTAATGAGTGGCCATGGGTGTGGTTCTAATGGCTTTAAAAGGAGAGCAAGTGAGGAGGTTAACTCTCTCTTGCCATTCCACCATGTGATACCCTGCGTCACTGCAGAGAGCCACCACCAAGAATGTCCTCACCAGATTTGTTCCCTGAACTTTGGACTTCCCAGCCTCTGAAATGGTAAGCAATAAATATCATTTCTTTAAAATTAACCAGTTTCAGGTACTCTGTTATAAGCAAAAGGAAATGGATTAATACAAACACTGAGGCTGAGAAACCCTGGGTTTCTAAGATGGTCTGGTCTTACTATGGGGAAAAAATTAACCCAGCTTAACCCAACTCTGTTGTCATCTAACAAAATTTAAAAACAAGAACAAAAACTGCTTCCCAGAACAAAGCTGAGGAATATAAAAATATGTAATGCCCAAAACAACTTAAAATTCATAATGCCTGGCATCAAATAAAAAATTTCCAGGAGTGCAAAGAAGCAGGAAAATGTAACCCATAATAAAACCAAAAAACAATCAATTGAAACTATGCCAGAATTGACTCAGATGATGGAATTAATAGACAAGGACACTAAATCAGTTATTATGACTGTATTCATATGTTCAAGAAGCTAGAAGAAAGTGAATATATTAAATAGAGACATAGAAGACATAAATAATACACGAAATAGGATTAAGGGCAGATTAGGCATTGTAGAAGAAAAGACTGGTGAACTTGAAAACATAGCAACAGAAACAATCCAAAAAGAAACACATGGAGAAAGAAAAACAAAACAAACAATCAAAAAACTCAGAACATCAGTAAGCTATAGGACTATTATAAGAAGCCAAATATATGTATAATTGGAATCCCTAATAAAGAGGTAAGAATGGGGGGAGGGGGGAGTGCAGAAAAAAATATTTGTAGAAAAAGGCAGAATTTTTCCAAATTTGATGAGGACTATCTAAACACCCACAGATTCAAGAAGCCCAGTAAACCCAAGCACAAGGCTTAAGATCAGTGTGCTTAAAATTACCAGTAGATAACAACATGCTAGGCACAGAGAATAAAACTACCATCTACCACATGAGAATATGTTTATATTTAATGGTGCATCTTGATAATAAAACTAATTATCATGTTTCTCACTTAAAAAAAAAAAAAAAAAAAGCAGCCAGAAGGAAAATAAATTCATCCAAGGAGACAGAGAGGTAAAGAGCACAGCAGATTTCTCATCTGAAGTAATGCAAACAAAAAGACACTAAAGCACTAAAATTAAAAAGCTCT